TCTATTTTTCAGTCACTGTGAACTTTCACCTGTGAGATCCCAAACTCACAGCCTTCACTGAAGGAGTGGCTGGCCTTCCCTTCCATTCTACTGTCTAAGCAGTCACTTTTCCACAGATGGCTCACCATTCCCCCAGCTCTTCCTAGAAACACCAGCAACTATGAACACACACAAAACATTCCTATATCCCGCTACCCTACCCTAGGGGTTCTATTATCTTTTTGTTTAGCAGACAATGCCTGGTGGCCCTGGGGTTGCTGATCTATTCTTATTCACTGCCGGACTAAGGTTTTCCTCAGAGAACAACTTCCATCTCATTAGACATATTGAATGGCTGACTTATTTCCAGACAGACTTCCATAGAAAAGCCAGACATGGGCTTTCCCCTGGGAGGAGGGAAGCCTCCTATTGGGCTGCATTTGATATACTCGAAGTTTGGGGACTCATTCTGAAGACAAAGCCCAAGAGAGAGAGGGTATCATGTGGTATTCAGAGCAGGGTGTTGCCATTTGAAAATCAGATAAACCTTCATGGGCTGGCTTTACTGGAAGTCCCTGTGTGTGTGACTACTGGAACACGCTGCCGTCATTTAGGTTAGCCTTTGGGTGATAGTAGCATTAGCTTATGTTCTTTTACCTGACCTCAACATCTTGTCATCCCTAATACTTTTATTCCATACCCTGTTATGTAAGGAATGAAGCATATATGAATATTTACATATGTGTGTGCTAGTTAGCTAACTACATTCTTAGACTGACTTTGCTATAAATATCTCTCTCTCTCAGTTGCATACAGCTTCAGGTATATCCTATCATTTTTGAAGAGTACAGTTATTTTTATTGCATTGAGTTTCAGTTTATAACAAGTGAATTTGCAAGCAGAATAGGGCATGGGGGAATGAAGACTGAATTCCATTATTAGAGAAAGCACACTATGTGTTGGAATGTCAGTTTGTGAGGGAAATATTGACAGACTCAGAAGCAGAAACTGACAAACATGATGAGGTGCGTTATCCTGACAGGGCATTCCTCAGGCAGAACCCTGGGAAAGATGAGATTCGTACTCAGCAGACAACACCAGGCTCTGATGCCTTTGGGTTGGAGCAGAATGGGAAGCAGGTGAGGCTGGAGAAGAGGCATAGATCCTGCTTATTTTCATGGTCTTGGCAGCTTACAAAATGAATTTCTCATTTAACTGCATGTGTGATGCTGTATTATGATCATTCTTAACAGAAACAAATGGGGTAAAGGGAGATTAGGAGTCTTGCTTCAGATAGAACAGCCAATATGTACTGTAATAGGATTTGAGAATAGGTATTTGGATACCATCTGCACGTGTGCCTCACCCATCCCACCCCATCCCACCCCACCCCTCTCCACTTTATTTGCCTGTCTCACAGTGTAGGCTCCGATGTGCACTTCTATTGTGCTTCAAGCTGCCTTTTCTGGAGACTTAAGGACATGACACGGCTGTTCTCCTGACTACATTGTGCTGTAGCTATCCAGTCTACAGGGCATTCTTGAGCAAATTGCTTCTCCTCCCGGGCGGGGCATCTCACAATTCTCAAGGTTCCTTTACTTCCTAATACTCTCACTTGTTTGAAAAACATAACCTCAAAACACAGAGCAAACCAGTCGCTGTCACATCTTGATCACTTGAACACTATACTGAGTCTCTTATGTGTACCTTCTTTGCCAGCTCTATATTGCCCTGGAATATAAGCTTTATTTCACAGTAACACTTCTAAAGCACAGAGAAGCTTTGTGGCTCTCCTGTAGTCCAGGCTGCCCATTCTCTCTCCCCTAAATTGCAGCAATAACTTTCTAACGGGTCTTCTCTCTCCCAATTTATCTGTGCTACCTCCATTGTCCATACAACTTTTGGAGTGGCCTTGTTAAACATTTACATCAGATCAAGTCCGGCCCTGGGAAGGGAAGTCCTCTCCCACCTGACTAACTCACTGACTTTCTCCACTGTTTTTTTTCTTTCACATTCCGCTTGCACAAATTATTCAGGTTCTAAAAAATCTAGAACCTGTGTATGTGGCAGAAGAGACCATTTTCAGATCTGGTTGAAAACCCTAGGAAAGGAGAGCGCTGTGTATTCTGTGTATTCTGTGTATGGTAGTGAGGGATGAGGCTGATGAAGTCACAGAGGTTCTTAGAAGAAAAAGAAGGGAGCAGGTCACAGACATCTGAACACAGCACCCAGCAGATTTGAGAATGGAAGACCAAACCAAAACTAAAAAGTCCAGGAATCCTCCGGAAGCTGTAAAAGCAAGGAGACAACAGAGGAAGGGTGTCACCTTGAGTTCCGTCCAGTAAATCCATTCGGGGACCTCTGCCTGAACCACAAGCCATCGCTGTGTGTTACAGTATGCCACAAGTCTCTGACCATTTGTTCCTGACTCATTCGAAGTGAATTCTCTCTCACTGACCTTCCATGCCTCAGACATACCACGTTCACTCTTGCTGGTTCAAGACTCTTGCATTTACTGCTCTCTTTGCTGGAGTGACCTGCCCTAGATTTCCATGTGACTGCTGTTTCGGAAGCAACTGTTACCTGTCACTCATGGTCATATACATTACAGGTTTTGGAGAAGATCAGATCAGAAGGAGCAAAGAGCTCAGCTAGATCGAGGTCAGTCTTCTTTTAAATGCTTCTCCTAATGCTTCTAAGATGGACCTGCTGTTAAACGCTTCTCCCTCTGCCGACCATTGCTCATGGAACCTTGTCAGAAGTGGAAATGAAGAACAATATTCAGAGATATGACCCACCCTTTCCTTCTCATTTTGTCTGTTGCCACAGAAGACATCCAAGAATGGAAATGAAGATCTTTGTTGATGCAGCACCTGTGCCATCTTTACAGAGTTTAGGACTTCTTTTCTCTTTGTGCAGCAAGAGAAAAAATACTTACAGCCTGTTATTGCAATGGGAAAACTTAAATGTCCTGTCTTAGTTAGGGTTTTACTGCTGTGAACAGACACCATGGCCAAGGCAACTCTTACAGAAATAACATTTAATTGGGGCTGGCTTACAGGTTCAGAGGTTCAGTCCATTATCATTAAGGCAGGAACATGGCAGCATCCAGGCAGGCATAGTGCAGGAGTTGCTGAGAGTTCTACATCTTCATCCAAAGGCAAACAGGAAAAGACTAGCTTCCAGGCAGCTAGGAAGAGGGTCTTAAAGCCCACACCCCCCCACCCCCCGACTTGGCTGGCCGGTGGTGGTGCACGCCTTTAATCCCAGCACTTGGGAGGCAGAGGCAGGCGGATTTCTGAGTTAGAGGCCAGCCTGGTCTATAGAGTGAGTTCCAGGACAGCCAGGGCTATACAGAGAAATCCTGTCTCAAAATAACAACAACAACAAAATACAAACAAAAAAGCCCACGCCCACAGTGACACACCTACTCCAAGGCTACACCTCCAAATAGTGCCACTCCCAGGGCCAAACATATTCTAACAACTACATGTCCGTTGTCCATTCAGCTTCTTTCCAGGAGGCCAAATAAAAAGCAAGTTCCAGAAATTCCTTGCAAATAAATGGCCCTTTCCTCAGCCTGTGTGTGTGGCAACAGTGTTGATGCCCCACATATACCGAGGGCAACATGAGTCTCCTGCACCATGTCTTATGGAATTGCTGTGGGAACCGTGAAACCCAGGCCTGATGGAGTTAATGAGTCATCTCATAGCACTGAGGCAGCTAAATTACGGGAGAGGTGTGTTGGCTGGCTCTGAGGAGCGGGCAAGCGGCTTCACACCAGCACCTTGGTGACCAGTCTAAGTGGGAGAAGGGAAGCTGCTTCCAACAATCAGGCTCATGTCAGGGGAAAGAGTGCTGTCTCTTTTGAAATCCTTCTTCTATAGTCATACACCCTGTCCCTTTGTGTTATGTGACTGTGCAATAGCCAACTGCAGTATACGCCTTGGCCAACACTGAGTCTCATAACCACCTTCAATCAGGGTTAGAATCAATTTATCCTAAAGCTGCTTCAAGGGCAACTGTAGAGAGAGATACTTAAGGACAATCAGAATGCTGTCAGCAGTCGTGGGGATAGGAGCCAGGTAGTCCAGAGAAACCCTGTCTTCTGCCTGCTCCTGTTACTCAAGGTGGACTTTCAAGCCTGAGGACTTTAAATCAGAAAGATATTTTTGAAGATTTCAGGGAGGGGAGATCCCGAGATAACCCCGCCTTAGCATCAGTCCACCCCACTAAGAGTGGGAGCCATCTGGTCTGGATTTGTCTGTTGTATCCATGCTGCTAACTGTTCTAGCTTCAAGCCCTTTGCTTGGGAAGGCAGCTTAGCAGCATTTAAATGAGCTGAAGTCTAAAACCACCCGGATTATAAACAGCTCATCATGTGTTAGAAATGCAAGCAGCGGTTCCGAAGAAGGCGGCCTCCCAAGACCTCAGCAGAGTCGCTGGCGCCTTCTGTTTTATCCATTTTGCTTTGTTGCTCAATATAGTTGAAAAAAGAATATATTTGATTATCAACAATTATCCTTCTACTAAATAAGTGATATAGCAAACCTTATTTACAGATCAACTTTGAAGACCCAGTTTTGGTTTTAAAGCAATGAATGTTTGACCATTTTTTATTGTGCTCCACTTCCTATAGTGGGTCTGTAGGAAAGTATGAAAATGAATTTAAAAGCTTAAAATTACATTTATTTGTGTATATGTGTGCATGCATTTAGGTATGTGTACATGTATGTGTCTATGTGTCTGTCTGTCTCTATGTTTCTCTCTCTCTCTCTCTCTCTCTCTCTCTCTCTCTCTCTCTCTCTCTGTGTGTGTGTGTGTGTGTATGTGTGTGTATGTGTGTGTCTGTGTGTGTCTGTGTGTAATGTGGATATCACTGTGCACATGTAGAGGTCAGAGGACAGCTTGTGGGTGAAGTTCTCTCTCTCTACCCTGTGAGACCCAGGATATAATTCCGGTTGCTAGCCTTAGTATCAAGCACTTTTACCTGTAATATAGGATCTAAAAGCTGTTGGTTTTATATTGTGGAATACTTCATGAATTTGCATGCCATCCTTGTGCAGGGACCATACTAATCTTCTCTGTATCTTCCAATGTTTAATGTGCTGTAGAAGCAAGCACTAAAGGTTTAGTTTTATATGAAGTGCCTGGTGGTGTTACTAAGATTTTTCTGATGTGTGTTCCCAACTTAGAACATAAAAACTAGACTGGTTTTACCTTTCTCTAAACTTCACTTCTTATAATCTTTGCTTAATATTTTATAAAATTTATGAATGAGCTGGTAAGAAATATTCAATGTATTGAAACAGCTCTAGTTAGGTATGGAATAAACTGTAATCTAAACATACCTTGTCATCTGTCCTTGGACCTCTTGCCCTTCAGGAACTTCAGTGGTACATGTGTTGTTTTTCCTATAGCCTCCATCCCCTCTCCTTCGGTGACAGTATTATCTCTCTATGGCCTCTTCTTTACTATGTATTTCTGGTGGGACTATTAATTACAGCAACACTACCTCTGGCAGGGAATTTTATCGTAACCAAGCTAGGCTACTTATTGCCTTGCTTCTTAGGAGACCGTGGTCTGGTTGGGAAGTAACTATGTGATCCCTTGACAGAGATGTCCACTGTGGAGAATACGCGTAACTATTAAAGGGCTCTGCTACCTAGAAAGACGAAAGTTAAAGCATAGACTTTAACTTTTTTTTTTTTTGTAAAAAGAAGCAGAAAAATGTGATGATGCCTGGAGAAAATAATAAAAGCAGGAAGGTTTGTTTGTTTGCTTTTTAATGTTTGTTTGCTAATGAGAGCGATCTGCTGGTGAGAGAAATATTTGAACCTAAGATGTAAGAAAGAACCTTACGGGTAGCTGTGGGAGAGGAGCCTAGAGTCCAGATAAGATGATGGTGTCAGACAGAAAGGTGGGCTGTTGCTCTACCACCACAGAAGGAGAAGCAGAGTATGTGGGAGGGGAGCTGCAGGGAGAAGATGTGTTCCATTGTGCTGCTGGTGCTTGTCTTTAAGAATATGAGCCATGACCAGAGAAGTAGGAAGAGAGCGGTGAAGTTGAAGTTTTGAAAGCAAGAGAGGATAATCAAAGAAGATAATGACCGGGAACACAAGGATTGAGTGGCAGCACTGGGGGATAGCTTACTATCTGCGGACAGAATAACCATGGTTTTCTTCAGACATATTTGGATTCTAAAGGGCGGTAGACAAGATAAGGGGGAAGTGATTCTAAATCTGAGGAGGGATTTGGGCAGTAGTTTGGATGGGAATGATCCCCACAGGCTCACGTATTAGAATGTTTGGTCCCCAGATGGTGGAACTGTTTGGGAAGGATTAGAAGGTGTCGCCTTGTTGGAAGAGGTGTGTCCCTGGGGGCAGGCTTTGAGATTTCAACAGATCATGGCATTCCTAGGTAGCTCTCTCTCTGCATCTCTATCATGGGTCAGATGTCAGCTCTTAGGTGCTACTCCAGTGCCTGCCTACCTGCCTGCCTGCTGCCATCATCCCCTCCACGATGGTCATGGACTCTAACCCTATGCAACCATGAATCCCCAACTAAAGTCTTTTATAAATTGCTCTGGTGTGTTGTCATGGAGGTAGAATAGTAACTAAGACAGGCAGAGATAATGCGATGGAAGCATTAGAGACGTGAGAGTGTGTTGGAAGGAGTAATTGTGGTGAAGGGTAGGGATTGGGATGGACGAGAGAGGAATGGGGGTCTTGGGAGAGAAACAGTAGAAAGCAGGAGGCCAACAGAACAAAGTGCTTAGCAAAGTAGAATGTTTAGATCTGGGGCATTTTATTAGTCAGGGTTCTCTAGAGTCACAGAACTTAAGCAATGTCTCTCTCTACAGAGGAAATTTATTGTGCTGACTTATAGTCTGTAGTCCAACTCACCTAACAATGGGCACCTGTGAATGGAAAGTCCAAGAGTCTAGTAGTTGCTCAGTCCCACGAGGCTGGTTGCTTTCGCTGGTCTTCTGTATAAGCTGGAATCATGACGAAACAGGTTCCAATAGATGTGCTGGCAAGTGCAAGCAGGCAAAGAAGAACGAACCCTTCCTTCTCCCTTATGCAGGCCCCCAGAAGAAGGTATGGCCCAGATTAAGGTAGGTACCACCACTCCTGGACCTAAGCTTTTCTTGGAACTTGCTCTGTCCCAGACTGGCCACTTACCTGTCTCCTGGGATTAAAGGTGTGTACCACCTTGCTTGGATCTAACCTTTTCATGGCCACTATTCTTCAAGATCCAGATCAGAAGCATGTGTCATCCCATGTCAAGATCAGAAGCCTGTGACCTCCAGACTCAAGATCTGGGTTACGGGTGTGCCCTCCACTTCTGGATTGTAGTTCATTCCAGATGTAGTAAAGCTGACAGCCAGGAAGAGCCGTTACAGGGGGGTGGAAGCTGAAAATGTAGGAGTAGAAAGTTTGAGATTAAGATGATTGGCAAGTGCAGCATCTTAAAGTGACAAGAGAGGAGAAAATGGTTAAAGTGGCTGAAGCAGAGTGACAGAAGACACGCTCGCTGGGGATGAAGAGATGATGGAGAGGTCGTAGGAGGAGATGGGTCATCCATCTAGAATGAACCTTACCAGGAATAATGGCAAAATTATTATGGGGAGACCACCACTAAGCCTGTGTCAAAGTCTCCAAAAAACATGAAAATGGCATAAAGCAAGAGACAAGAACACATTGGGTATGTCTGGAGGGAAGTTGCTATGGTTTAGATCATAAATGTCCCCACAAAGGACCACACGGTAGAGGTGTGTATCCCAGGGTGGCTCGTTTGGAGGTGGAGCCTGGTAGAAGATCTCTAAATCCCTGGAGACATGCCCTCAAGGGAGTATGGAAATGCCAGCCCTTTTCTGATCCTTATCTGAATGGTTCTGTCAGTTGCTAAGCCCCTTACCCGCTGGCCCAAAAGCGAAGCTTATGGACTGAAAGTTCCAAAACAGTGAGTCAAAACAGATCTTTTTTCTTTATGAGATTGTCCTAGGTATTTGTCAGAGTAACAGGAAATTGACTAAGAGATACAGTCTGAGGAGAGAAGCTTTGAAGCAACTGGTGTGAACAATGAGGACATAGTGTCGTGGAAGTGAATCCAGGAGCAAGAACGCTACGTACATAACCTGATGGCCCAGTGGAACATGACATGCAGGAGAGAAAACTGGCCAGCACTCTCAGGTACTGCAGAGAATTCTGTGGCTTTGACAAAGAGCCGAGATCCCCCTCGGGGTTAAAGGATGAGCAGCCGCGCAGAGAACAGTGTGGTGAGTGGGGATTTCTTTCTGATGACGGGGAGATAAGAATGTGAGTGGGAAATCTGTGACCAGAGAAGCCTGGACAGTCACTGATCACAGAAATAAATATTGACAGGGTCATCTGGTGGTCGCTCAAAGCAGGGAATGTTAGTCCAGATTATTCTTGGAACTTGAGTCAGGCAAATCTGAGGTAAGGAGAGAGCGGGAACTAAATTTAGGAGAATCCAGCTGAGTCAGGGTCCATTCTTCTTTCTTTACTTTAGCAGTCCCCTTAAGCTGACATTGGTCCATCTTTACTGCAGTCATATTGTCTTTCCTGTGGTCCTCGGTACTCTCTGTGTTATTACTGTTGTCTCCTGGTCTCTTACACGCCTTTTCTATCTTTGGCTACTTCTCCCCATGTCTCCATGGTTTTCTTTGTAGACTGTTAAACAGGTGCCTCTATCGCTCAACTCCATGTGTGGCTTTTCCAGGGCTTCAAGTCACGGCACTGTAGTTAATAAAATGGCTTCACATTCAGGGCTTCTGATAAATGAGTAGATCATTTTGCTTTTGCTACACAGAGGGGAAGAATAACATTTTAAAAGATATCTTTTATATTGAAGTGAATCACCAGGACAAGCTTGAAAAAGAAAGAAAAATTTTATAGAACTGATTAAGTTACGTGCCAGATGGACAAAGATACATTGAAATCTTAGTGAGAGATCTCTATCCATGCTTTTGAGTGATAGCCTGTACCAGTTAATATCTACCAGGAAACGGATCTTAGCTGGTTAACATGAGTCTGTTAAAAACTGGCTAGCAGGGCTGGAGAGGTGGCTCGGCAGTTAAGAGCGCTGGCTGCTCTTCCAGGGGACTAAGATTTAATTCCCAGTACCTACTTGGCAGCCCACACGTCTGTAACTCCAGTCCCAAGGAATCCGGTGCCCTTCCCCAGCCTCCACAGGCATCAGACACTCGTGTAGTGATGGGCACTCATGCACACAAAACACTCATACACCTAAAAATAAATTAAATTTTTTTAAAAGTTAGGATAACCTAGACTCTGTGTAAAGGCAAACTCAGTTCCTAGCTGGTTGACGAATGCCCAGCCTTGACGATGACCGAGCAATTCATTCCCTTTCATGCAGGAGCTGGTTTTCCTGTGTACAGTGTTTGTGTCAACGGTGACATCAACTGGATTCTGAGTACCTGGGAGAGACATCCCATCATCTTCATTTTTGCTGCTTGCCTTCATCCTGGTATTCCACATTGCTATGTCCACACTTGTAATTTTTAATGTTTTAGCAGAGACTAGATCTGTTGCCAGTGAGCCCCAGGGATCCTCTCGCCTGTGCCCCCTCCATGCTTAGATAACAAACACATCATCACACCCAGCATTTTACCTGGGACCCGGATGTGGAACTCCGGTCCTCACGGTCACAAGGCAGGCACTTACTAAATGGAGCTGCATCTTCAGCCCCATTTAAATCACTTTCAACTCTCTTCTCGGTGACAATTGGCTCCCTGGTCATCATGGTCATCCCCTATCTCCACGTCAGCAAGACTTTAACTTAAATAAAAGCATCATAGCAGGTGAGAAGGACCCATGGGAATAGTAACTGCGGAGTGAGACCCGGTGACTGTGAAGGAGAGGTGACAAAGAGACCGGGGGGCACAATCTCAGGCAGACCAGTTTATGGGGACAATACAGAAGAGGGTAAAGGACACAGAACTGACTGACTCTCTCATAACTACTACACTAAGAGACTGCAGTATCTTAAGACCAAGACAGGGTGCTGGGGGACACTTAGCCCACTCTGACCATCTCCCACTAGCTAATCAGCAGTCTTCCTAGTAGACTTGATGGAGA